AATATTAGTAATCATAAACTTGAGACCTGCTTAATGATTTTTAAAAGACTCCCTGAACATGGCATTATTAGGACTATCACGTGAGGACGTTTTTCCTTATCTGTGGCAGCAGATATCATGAAAATTATGCATGGCCATGTTTTTTTATTTTGCTCATCAGCTTTCATTAATGTTTATGTATATACGTTGTAGCCCAAGAAAACTCTTTGTCCAATGTGCAGCCAAGAAGCCAAAAGGTTGGACACTCTGTTTTATGTGCAGTCTACTACTTCTCCAACTTTAAGTCTAAAATTATTTCAAAATAAAAAGCTGAATTGTTCTAGACTCTCACTTTTCTAATTACAAAAATCTTCAACGTTTACTGGCATTGTGCAATTTTGTGATCCTCTTTCCTCACCACAGTAAACTAAGATTTATCTAGCATTTACTAGGTTTCAGGCACTGTGCTGTAGCTATAAAAACAATGGATGGTGATGATACATGGTCTCTAGCCTGTACAGTCTATTGCATTTAGACCTACAGGAACCATCTCCTAAGTATCTCCATCCTATTTTAAAAATAAAAAAAGTAAAGCCCTAAAAGGTTAAAGTTATTTGCCTAAAAACTATGAATTAAGAGAGAGAGAAAGCCAAAATTTGAACCCAAGTCCTCCAAATCCAGTGACTGAGATCTTTCTTAACTACTGCAATCTGACATTTACATTATTATATTTATATACATGCACAGTATAATATTACATAAATTCTTATCCTGTTACCAATAAGGAACCTAAAACTCCAGGGAAAGATGTATCATGCCTAAGCTAGTAAGTGTCAAAACTAGACTTCAAACCCAAATCTGATCACTTTCAATCCAGTGCTATTTCCATTTCTATAATTGCTTTTTAGTAAATCTAAATTACACAAATTTAAAAATGTTTTTTGTACATATTGCATTTTTCCATACATAAATTATAATTTACTTTCTTCTATAATATGAAACAAATTTTTAATGGCCCTAGAATGTTTAATGGATACTACACCAAAAGGAAAAGATACTTATAAATTAAAAAGCAGAAGTGGGCTGGGCATGGTGGCTCATCTCTGCAATCCTAACATTCTGGGAAGATGAGACTGGAGGTTCCCTTGAGCTAAGGGGTTCAAGACTAGCCTGAGCAAAAGCAAGACCCTGTCTCTACTAAAAAGAAAAACATTAGCCAGGCATTGTGGTAGGTTCCTAAACTACCAGGTACTCGGGAGGTTGAAGTAGGAAGATCACTTAAACCCAGAAGTTTGAGGTTGCTGTAAATAAGGCTGACACCACAGCACTCTACCCTGGACAGGGGAAAAAAAAAGTCAATTCTGCATTTGATCCTAATCCATACATGCTCTGCCCTTTTATGCTCTCTTACAACCTTCCTCCACTATCTGTTCCTGTCCAAGCTCTGAATGCCCAGTTCCTTCGACCATTGCTCCCATGCCTTCCAGATCCTTTCCCCACCTGAGCTGATCTTGCCTAGAAGCCTCTGGTTTGGAAGAGCCATCTCAAAACTTAGCAGCCACGGACAGCGCCTATAAATCAGTGAGTAGGGCACCAGCCCCATATACCGAGGGTGGCAGGTTCAAACTGGCCACGGCCAAACTGCAACCAAAAAATAGCCAGGCAGGCGCCTGTAGTCCCAACTACTCGGGAGGCTGAGGCAAGACAATCACTTAAGCCCAGGAGTTGGAGGTTGCTATGAGCTGTGTGATGCCATGGCACTCTACCAAGGGTGATAAAGGGAGGCTCTGTCTCTACAAAAAAAAAAAAAAGAAAAGCCTTGGGGGTTTACATGATCCTTCTCAAAATTTAGCAGCTGCAATGAGGTATGGCCCTCCAGGGGTCAGTGCAGCTTACAAGCAGGGCACAGGACAGCTACTGGTGCTTACACTCTGCACCCCTAGGCCCCTCTCAGTTCCTGTCCACAGGCTGATGTCACCACTGCAGGAACTTGAGTGTCTTCATTATCTCCCTTGTTTATCACATAATTCTCCTATTCTTGATTCACAATCTATGTACATATGCATGCGCGTGTGTAAATATGCAGAGACAGAGGAGACCCAGGACGATTCTCTCTCATTCCCCACCTACTCCAAGGCCAGTGTTAGTTATCCTTCTGCTGCTGTGTTTGCTAGGTGGGATGACTTGAATGGCAGCTCCCTGTGAGGTCTAATTCCTAGTTAAGGCTCAGCAGTGGCTGGAGGACATCCACCTCTTCCTTCCACCTGTGGCAGCCCCAGGAAAACAAAGAAAGGCATCATGTCCTCCAATTAGGGACTTAACAAAGATAGGCCAGATGTGATGGTTCATGCTTATAATTCCAGTACTTTGGGAGGCCAAAGTAAGAGGATCACATGAGTTCAGGAGTTCCAGACCAGCCTGAATAAGAGCAAGATTCTGTATCTACTAAAACAAAAAAATTAGCCAGGCACTAAGGTGAGCACCTATAGTCCCAGCCACTCAGGAGGCTGAGGCAAGAGGACTGCTTGAGCCCATGAACTTGAAGATGCTGTGAGCTAGGCTAACATCATGGCACTCTAGCCTCAACAACAGTGTGAGACTCTGTCTCAAAAAAGGGCTGGAGGGGGAAGTGAGCAAACTATGAATGACTACCTTACTAACAAAAGGTCCCAATTGTCAATAAACATGAAAAAAATAGTTGATTTCGTTAGTTATCAATGAAAGAAAACTAAAAAGCATATTGCAATTCCACTATACAACCACTGAAATGGCTAAAATTAAAAGTAAAGGTAATACTAAATAGTAAGGATATGCAGCAATTATAAACTGACAAAATCAGTTAGAAAAACTTATGGCAGTTTAGTACTAAAGCTGAACATATACATACCCAGCAAATTCAATTCTAAGTATATAACCAACAGAATACATGCACCACAAGGCACATCCAAAAATAGTCACAGCAGCACTTTTCATGACAGACATTATCTAGAAACAATCTAAATGTCCACTATAACTGGAATGAATGTTATTCACACAACCAATAATTCTATAGAAATGAGAATACTACTACAAGAATAACATGGATATACCTAATAAACAATGTAAAACAAAGAAACCAGACACACATAGTGCATATGATTCTGTTTATTTAGAATTCAAAATTAGGTAAAACTAATAGACTGTAATAAATGTGTTGGGGTAGTGGTTGCCTTTAGGAATTAGAGGAGGGCTGTGACTTAAAAGGGATAGAATAGGAGGGTCTCTGGGATGCTAGTAATGTTCCATGAGATGTTCACTTTTCAGAAAATTCATCAAAAAGTATACTTAAAATTTGTGTACTTTTCTGCATGATTTTACATTTCAATAAAGACACAGACCTAAGGAAATAATGCTACAAATGTGCATAATCAAACACACACACAAGCATGTTCTTTTCATCATTATTTCATTCAAACATATGCACCTAATAATACGATAAATGTCAACTAATAGGAGAGTGATTAAACAAATTATGGCATACCATTAATAAGTCACTAAAATAAATAAGGCAATACATGTATAACATGAAAATCTCTACAAGACAGGTCATTAAGTGAATAACGCAAATTTCAAGACCAGGAACAGAGGCTCACACCTATAATCCTAATACTCTGACAGGCCAAGGGGAATGGACTGCTTGAGCTCAAAAGTCAAGACAAGCCTGAGCAAGAGTGAGACCCCATCTCTGAAAATACCTGGGCGTTGTGGCAGGCGCCTATAGTCCCAGCTACTTGGGAGCCTTGAGCCCAAGAGTTTGAGGTTGATATGAGCTATGATGCCACAGCACTCTACGGAGGGCAAAAAAGTGAGACTATCCCCCCCCACAAAAAAAGCAAATTTCAAATGCATATAAATAGCATTATCCAATTTGTATAAAACAAAGTAATTTGTACTAATATATATGTTTACATGAAATGGGTATATATTATGTGCCCAAAACATACTGTATAGATACAAATACATGTAAACATATCCAATATGTTTATGATTCTAAAAACTTCTAGAAAGATATCAATATTGGTAGTTATCTCTTTGGAATTAGGTCAGAAACAAAGAAATTTTACTTACTATTCTCTCCTACATCATTTGAATTTTCATGATGATTATGCAGTTCTTTTATAATAAATTACATCACACAGTTAAGAAAAGTAGACACATGGCTCGGCGCCTGTGGCTCAATCGGCTAAGGCGCCAGCCACATACACCTAAGGTGGCGGGTTCAAATTCCCAGCCCAGGCCCGCCAAACAACGATGGCTGCAACCAAAAAATGGCCGTCGCTGTGGTTGGCGCCTGTAGTCCCAGCTACTTGGGAGGCGGAGGCAGGAGACTCGCTTGAGCCCAGGAGTTGGAGGTTGCTGGGAGCTGTGAAGCCATGGCACTCTACCCAGGGGGATAGCTTGAGGCTCCGTCTCAAAAAAAAAAAAAAAAGAAAAGTAGACATCTCTAAAACTGGTCTAGCTGAGCTGGCCCTGTCACATCATTGTCCTGAAAGATTCCCAATTTGTGCAGTATTGACCTAAGAGGGTAACTCATTCAGAACCACTGTTGCACAATTCCAGATCAAGCAATTAGACATTAAAGCTCAAACAGAACTATACTAAGGAGTGTTCAAAGAAAGGCTATGTTATTAAACTTATGAACAAATAAATCTTCTATTAACAATGTACGTCCACCTGAGGGTCAAACAACTTTAAGAACTGGGGAGAATAATACAAAATAGACCGTGCTGTATTATTCCTAAATAATACACTAGAAAAGATATTCTGATTCATCTACTTACCAGGTGAGTTGAAGTTAGTAGCATAACTCTCACCAGGAAAGACTATGAAAGATTACCCAATCCAGGCTTTCTGCTCAAATACTGATTCCTATTAGATAAGACACTTTTTATAAGAGTCATGCAGCACAAAGGTTAAGTCATGTGAAAAAACTAGAATGTTAGTTACCATATAGTCTCCTTAAAATAAGTTCAATCGAGAGAGCAGGACGTCCGGCTTCCAGCTCGGAACTTTGGTACTGTCAGCAACCAAACAGCGAATTAAATATGGGTGATACTGAGAAAGGCAAGAAGATTTTTGTTCAGAAGTGTGCCCAGTGCCATACTGTGGAAAAAAGAGGCAAGCACAAGACTGGGCCAAATCTCCATGGCCTCTTTGGGAGGAAGACAGGTCAGGCTGCTGGCTTCTCTTACACAGATGCCAATAAGAACAAAGGCATAACCTGGGGAGAGGATACACTGATGGAGTATTTGGAGAATCCCAAGAAGTACATCCCTGGAACAAAAATGATCTTCGCTGGCATTAAGAAGAAGGGAGAAAGGGCAGACTTGATAGCTTATCTCAAAAAAGCTACAAATGAGTAATAGTTGGCCATTGCCTTATTTATTACAAAAAAATATATAAATAAATAGAATAAAATAAGTTCAATCTATATCCAAAGCGAGATTCAGAGAGTATGCTGAAGTAAAAAGGATCTGAATTTTTTTTTTTTTTTTGAAACAGAGTCTCACTTTGTGGCCCCTAGTAGAGTGCTATAGCGCCATAGCTCATAGCAACATCTAACTCTTGGGCTCAAGCGATTCTCTTGCCTCAGCCTCCTGAGTAGCTAGGACTACAGACACCCACCACAACGCCCAGTTGTTTTTAGAGGTAGGGGTCCCGCTCTAGCTCAGGCCTGTCTCGAACTTATGAGCTCAGGCAATTCACCTACCTCGGCCTCCCAAAGTGCTGGGATTACAGCCATGAGCCACCACACCCAGCCCTGAATGCTTTAAAAAAAAAGAAAAATCACCTCTTGAAACATACAGGCCGAATAAAAGCCAATGCAATCACATCAAAAGATAAGGACCCAGGGCGGCATCTGTGGCTCAGTGAGTAAGGCACCAACCCCATATACCAAGGGTGGTGGGTTCAAACCCAGTCCCAGCCAAACTGCAACAAAAAAATAGCTTGGCATTGTGGGGGGTGCCTGTAGTCCCAGCTACTCTGGAGGCTGAGGCAAGAGAATCACCTAAGCCCAGGAGCTGGAGGTTGCTGTGAGCTGTGACGCCATGGCACTCTACCAAGGGTGACAAAGTGAGACTCTGTCTCTAAAAACATAATAAATAAATTAAAAAGATAAAGACCCAGCAGACAGTGAGAAGAGAACTACTGAATCCCAGAAATGAACTTTAAAAGAAATGCAATGGTAATAAGAATTGGGTACAATTCATAAATGACTTTGGAAAGATATACAATGTCATTAATAACAAATTGGGAGTTAGCCAAAGAGAGGAAGCAGCATATTCTGCCAAAGGCTATTTAAGCAAACAAAGGCAAATGGATTTGTCACCTTCCAGATGATTCTGAAAGATCATTTGTCACAATAAATGCAATCCCATTCTTCAATTAAAGCAGAATACAAAATGTGTGGCAAAAATGATATTGTAAAGCCACTGAAACAGGTAAGATGATTCCTTTTTCTCTCTTAATTGGAAGGAAGAAGTTACAAAGCCCTAGCATCCATATATTAGGTTTTTATTGAGTGGTACTTGAGAGACATGGGAGAATTAGCTATACCATCCTTCTTAGCCTAATAATAGGATTCAAGGAAATTTAAAAATAAACAAACAAAAAAACAGAGGTCTTATACCAATGGCCAAACATATTTTGTCTCTTAGGCCATTAAACAATCATAAATACAAAATGCATAAATGTAGCAATTTTATTCATGCTGCTTTATAGCACAAAAATTGATGACTAAAATAAAACGCTAAACAAATGCTGAAGCATATTTTTTCAAGACTTATACATACCTAAAATATTTTATTACATCATTACATGACTAGAATATGATCTTTTAGATAGCCCCTAATGTATAACACTCTTCACTCCTTGCATATGATACAATGGAATAGTTTTCTAGGAGGCAAATGTAGTATCAACCACTGTGAATTATAATTTTGTTAATATAGAACGTAAGTCTTTCCTCTTAACGTGCTTGCCATCAAACTGGAAAAATAAAGACCATAAAAATTTATGATCTCCTAAATCCTCCTGAATGGATTTGAGAGAAATAAAAAGGATTAAGTTAAATGGGTTTTTTTTAATAATTTCAGAAATAAATATAGTTTCTAACTTGAGAGGCTTTCTGGTACAGCGTTATCTAATAAAACATTCTGCAATAATGAAAATATTCTTTATCTATGCTGTCTGATACAAAAACCATTAGCCACCACATGTGGCTACTGAGGACTTGAAATGTCACAAGTATGACTAAGGAACTGAAAAATTAGTGTTATTAAATTTTAAATATCTAGTATATGAGAAAATTAAAGTCCTAATCAGTAAACTGTAGACACTGAAAAGTTGGCCTATACTTTACTATCAAAAATGCATAGGGGCCGGCTCGGCACCCATAGCACAGTGGTTATGGTGCCAGTCACACACTTTGAGGCTGGTGGGTGTGAACCCGGCCAGGACCAGATGAACAACAATGACATCTGTAACAAAAAAAATAGTTGGGCATTGTGGCAGGTGCCTATAGTCCCAGCTACTTGGGAGGCTGAAGCAATAGACTCACTTAAGCCTAAGAGTTAGAAGTTGCTGTGAGCTGTGACAACACGGCACTCTCCCAAAAGTAACATTGTGAGGCTCAGTCTCAATTAAAAAAAAAAAAAAAAAACAAAGACCATTAACATGTCAAATATGAATTTTTAAAAGACTTAAGCAAAATCTAGGAAAAAAGTGAATGAAAGCCTATTAGCTTAAGTTTCTACACATTTGGAGATCTGGATCATATTGTTCTAGGTCAATGTCTTCTCTTTAATTCAAAAATGTATTTTCATTGTCCCAAGACCTGTTTTTAACCTCTCTGCCTTATCAACAGGAACACAAAATAAGAGGTAATTTTGCCGGTCTGTTATGTTTTACCATAAAACAATGTCATACAAATCTAAATAAATTCTGCCCATCTGGTATATGATACAACTTTTCATTGACTCATTTTCAGAATGGACTTAAATTTATTGTTATATATTAGGAGTAACAAGACCTAAACATGGGTTACTACAGAAATGAAATATCAAGCAAACACTGAAGAAATTTTAGATAATGAACTCAGAAAAGTTCAAAATATGCTAAGTGAAAAGAAGACATAAAAAGCAAAACAATCCTTTATATAGTATGCATGTCAAAAAAGCATAAAGCACATATACCAAAATGTTAAGAGTGATTATATCAGGCTGAGTACGGGCTCACACCTGTAATCCTAGCACTCTGGGAGGTCAAGACAGGTGGATTGCTTGAGCTCAGGAGCTCAAGCCTGAGCAGGAATAAGGCCCTGTCTCTACCAAAAATAGAAAACGTAACTGGGCATTGTAGCTGGTGCCTGTAATCCCAGTTACTTGGGAGGCTGAGGCAAGAGGATCACTTGAGGCTAAGAGTTTGAGGTTGCTATGAGGTATGATGATGCCACAGCACTCTACCCAAGGCAAGAGAATGAGATCTTGTCTCCAAAAAAAAAAAAAAAAGAGTGATTATATCTGGTAATAGAAGAAGGGCTAGGTATTATTCATTCTGGAAATGCAACACTTATGTTCACACAAAACCTGCACACCAGTGCTCACAGAAGCTTTATTTGTAATAGCCAAAATGTGAAAACAACCAAATGTCCATAGATAAGTGAATGGTCAAACCATGGTACATCCATACTATGGAATGCTACTCCATAAAAAAAAAAAGAAAAAAAGAAACAAATCACTGAATATACAACAACGTGGATGGCTCTCAAAAATATTATACTGAGTGAAAAAAATCAATTTCAAAAGGTTACATACTCTTGAATCCACTGGTATAACATTCTCAAAATGACAAAATTATAGAGACAGACAACAAATTAGGGGTAGTTGGGGGTTAGGAATGGTGGAGGCAAAGAGAAGAGGTGTGACTATAAAAGGGTAAACCTAGGTGGAGCTTTGTCATGATGGCTTATTCTGTATCTTTTTTTTTTTGAGACAGAGTTTTTCCTTTTTACCCTCAGTAGAGTGCTGTCACATCACAGCTCACAGCAACCTCAAACTCTTGGGCTTAAGTGATTCTCTTGCCTCAGCCTCCCAAGTAATTGGGACTACAGGCACCTGCCACAACACCTGGCTATTTTCTCAGGCTGGACTTAAACTGGTGAGCTCAGGCAATCTACCCACCTCGGTCTCCCAGAGTGCTAGGATTACAGATGTGAGCCACCATGCCTGGACGTATTCTGTATCTTGACTGCATTGGTGATTGATTACACAAATCTACACTTGATAAAGTACTCAACATTGGATATATTATAGTAATGTCAGTTGCTTGATTTTGACATTTCATTATAGTTATACAAAATATAACCACTGGGGAAAACTGGGTGGAGGGTACATGGAACCAAATAAAAAGTTTTTTAAAAAGTAAAAAGAGTACTCAAAGACTGATAGGACACATCAAGAATACAGAGGCTCCTGTCAGCCAAATCTTAAACTCAGCACTAAAATAATCATGGTAAAAAATAAAATAAAATAAAATAAATAAAGTAAAATAATCATGGTAATTGATTTTAACCCAGCAATTTTAACCCAGTGCACTCGAAATCCATATTGATACATATTAATTAATAAATTTTAAAATGTGATAAGGAATGAAATTAACTTTACAGTGGTGAAGACTAGCAGATATCACTTGATTTAAAGTGAACCATTAGGGCGGCACCTGTGGCTCAGCAAGTAGGGTGCCAGCCCCATATACCAAAGGTGGCGGGTTCAAACCCAGCCCTGGCCAAACTGCAACAAAAAAATAACTGGGTGTTGTGGCAGGCACCTGTGGTCCCAGCTACTTGGGAGGTTGAGGCAAGAGAATCACCTAAACTCAGGAGTTGGAAGTTGCTGGGAGCTATGACACTACAGCACTCTACCACAGGCAATAAAGTTGAGACTCTGTCTCTAAAAATATAAAAAATAAAATGAACTATCATCAGAATAGAATAAATAAAAATCATGTATTGCCTATTGGAAGGCAATGGGTAAAAAAATGCAGCATTACTTGTATGATACTCCTGCCAGATTCTTTACTAAAATTTCATAAGGAGGGGGAAAAAATCAGATAACCCCAAACTGAGGGCCATTCTACAAAATAAATGAAAAATGTATATTCAAGGGCCAGGCACAGTGGCTCATGCCTATAATCTCAGGCACTCTGGAAGGCCGGGGTAGGCAGATTGCTTGAACTCAGGAGTTCAAGACCAGCCTGAGTAAGAGCGAGATCCTATCTCTAACAATAGCCAGGCATTGTGGCAGGTGCCTATAGGCCCAGCTACTCGGGAGGCTGAGGCAAGAGAATCACTTGAGCCCAAGAGTCTGAGGTTGCTGTGAGATACAACACCACGGCAC